CTGGACTACGACATGTTCGACGTTACCCTGACGACGGTGAAAACTGTGACTCTGAAGTCTGTCGTTTCAGACTGGGCGCCCGAGGAGGAGCGTAACCCGGGCGATGACGGTGACGACACCTCGTTGGGGAAATCTCAAACCGTGACGGAGTCCAACGACAACTCCGTGTCGGTTTACCTGGACGCCAACGGCGACGACTACCACCAGGACAGCTGGAACGACAACCTGACACTCGCCCGATCGCTGACAGGAAACGGCGGCCTCATCAACGAGGACGTCAGCAGTGGAAGCAGTAACGGGAGAAGGCGCAGCTCCTCACCTCCAGACTCAGACGCAACAGAAGTCCCTGCTGATGATGATGATGATGATGAAGAGGAGGCGTTGTTTGTGTCTGTGAGCTCTGATGTGGACGTGCAGAGAAGCAGTGCGATGATCGCAAGCTCAGGTGGTTGGTCAGGTGACGGCGTCCAGGTGACGGATGTGGAGGTGGGCGGGCCTGCGGTCCACTGTCCTCCAGAGCCGTCCACAGGGCGTCACGCAGATCCTCCAGCCTCTGAAGACCTCAGTGAAGACACACAGATGCCGACTGAAGATGTTAAGAAAACGAGCTCTCCTCCACCTGAAGAGGCTGAAACGGGTGTAGTGGGCTCCAAACCTCCGCCCTCCCAGCCTGACGTGAGTCTGGCAGCAAGACCCAGACCTGCTCCCAGGTCAGCCGCCTCCACAGCTGCCAAACCGCCCGGTCCAGAAGCAAAGAGGGTTTCCAGAGTGGACTTAAAAACAGTCAGAGCTAAAGTGGGATCACGCTCCGCCCCCTCCCCACCGAAACCTGCCACCCAGGTACACGGCAGCCAGGTGTTACTGTGTTTGCTGCACCTCCACCCCGACGTTCAGGGTCACTCGAAATGTTTTATGTGATAGACAACAAGTAATGTAATCACTGATTATTACTGGAACACCTGCACAGGTACACAGACTCATAATCAGCATAATCCATGTTAGCATGTTAGCATGTTAGCATGTTAGCATCGACCTGTAGTCCCAGATTTCACTGAAAGTTTCCTCCAACAAGTCGGTGTAGCAGGAAGTGTAGTGCAGCTGCTCCCTGCACAACACCTGAACACAGGTCACATGGTCACTGACCAGTGTCACGTCACATCGCATAAAAACCCTCAAAGTAATTTATTACTTGGCTTAGAAAAGAGTAAAGGGCGTGTTTAATAGAAGCACACAGCAGGGCCTTCTTTAAGTGAGCCCACACTCTGAGCTGTTGCTTATCAGGTGACATGAACACTGACATTTTCAAATGTGTCTTCTACTCAGAATAAATCTGCCCCGTCCAATGGGAAGAGAGCTGTGGTGAGGAAGGAGGTGCAGGCTGGTGATGGAGGTAAAAGACAGCGGTCGTCTGCAGGTCCCATCAAAGTGGCTGTGATCAGAGCAAAGAGCAGGAACATCAAGCCAAACCACAGGAAAGCAGCCGGGGAGCCGACCGTGCCGCAGGAGAAGAGTTTATCCGTCAGCCGAACCCTGTCCACTTCGAGCAGCTCGCTGGGCTCCGAGGTCGCTGGGGAAAAACGCCTGAATGCTCCCAGGAAGGCTGACCAGGACGTGCCCGATAAATATGGAAAACCTGATGAGGGGGAAGCAAAATGCCCAAGTGAGGAGTGTGTGGAGGGGCAAACGGAGGGCTCAGGAGAGGCTTCGGTGTCAGCAGCCGCTGTGGAGAAACCACGGACGCCTACCAGGGTGAGTATGAAGAAGACGTGAAGTGCACTCGTCTGCCTCATGAGAGTTTAAACATGTCGTTTTGCACACGAACGATCCGGGAACTCTGGCGGCTCGAGGTGCAAGAAGTAACTCGATATGTGCTTATTGTTGGCAGCACATCTGTGACATAACAGAGTGTCTGCATGTGAGGACGGAGGAGAGGTTTCCTCTCTGGAAACGGTTCAACACATGCAACACACATGAAGCGTGTTTATATACACACGCAAGTCTTTTTAAGCTTTTGCTGGGAGAGCTGGGACAGAGAGCGGAGCTTAAACTGCCTCAGGGTGGATTTGAACATTAGCCCGGGTCGCTGCTCCACCCGGTGAGTTGGTATCGTCACCTCCATCCACGACATTTAATCCTTAACCAATCACAGGTGGTGTTTGAGCCACACCGTACGTTTATATCATATCAAAATAAAAGCTGCAAGACGTTAATGTTAAAGTTCCCAAGAAATGTCCGTCTGCAGGGCCTCCTGCACGCTGTGGCGTCCAGTCTGTGACCCGAGCTCAGGATTTACTTTGAATTCGTGTGAAGGCGGCATGTGGTGCAACAGGGCGAGCTGGATGCAGCGCTGGTGTGAGCGTTTCCTCATCAGCTGATGAGTTTGAAACTCGAGGTGATGAAAGATGAAACGAGCTTCCTGATAAATAACTGCGAGCTTTAGCTGCGCTGATGATGCGCTGAGTTTACAGGAGGGAGCGGTATGTGCACGGCGAGCGCGCACGGTCTCTGGTATGTGTTTTTGAAGATGTGTAAAAGCTGCTGTCACAGGCCGCCCCGGGGGCGGGGCAGATACCTGTTAAACCCTGCTGTGAGAGTACTAATGTTTAAAGGGAAACGTCACCACATAATCATCTGTGCACAGCTTAACTGCACGCTTCCTTCTGCAAAGCGATGTGGTTGGTGGCTGTAGTGTGGCGGGGAAAGTAGTTCCGGTCTGATTAGTAATGAATTCTGCAGAGGAGGTTCACGGCGCAGCGACGGGCACAGTTTCATGTCCCATAAATATCTGGATATTCCACACAGACCGCGCACATGTGGTTTGAGTCGGGCCGACGTGACACTTGAGTTTATTTTGGCAGCGATGAAGGAAACGCTGCTGCACGCGTGCGCTGCATCTTTTCATGTATTACCAGACAATCAGCTGTGCTGCCAGCTTGCATGTTAACACATGATTTAGGGTGAACGCTGCAGTAATCCGCCGGCTCGGCCGAAGGAGGCTCCGAGGTTTCTGATCGGAGTCAATAAAGCAGCGGCTGAGCAGCAGTTTCTACAACACACACACACACACACACACACACACTCTGCCATAAACTCGCTCCATGTGTGCTCGTGTACTCAGAGGGGGAGGAACATGGAGGGGTGGGGGTGGGGAGAGAGAAAGCTCCTGGCCCCGTCCGAGCTCGGGTTCTCGAGGGGAGTGTACGACACAATGGCAACTGTTTTTGCCCTCCTCGTAGTTGCAGCACACTCCCAGTTTCCCTCCTCCTCATTTCCTTCCCTCCTTTTCCTCCTCCCCTCCAGTTTAAAAAAATCTCTCTCTCTCTCTGTCACTCCTCCCCTGCTTCGCTCGTCCACATTTCCGACTCCGAGTGGGGAATGGCTAACACCATGGTCTCGCTCTGCAGCTCCGAGCTGGGGCCCCTCGGCTGGGACGCCGTCACTAAACGTCAGCTCTTCTTACAGAAAGTCTCCTCCAAGCTGGGACCCAGCCCCAGGCCTCAGGGAAGAGGCACCAGAGCAGACCGGGGGCCCTCGGGACCAGCTCCGGGCTCAGGGACCGGACCTCCAGGTCAGGGCAGCCCCGGACCCAGGCAAGCCCAGACAGATGGCTCCACGCTGGGAAAAGGTGGGCCGAGTGTTGGGAGTGGAGCTCCAACCACCAAGAGTCAGAGTGAGTCAGTGCAGTGCCTGCTCTCTGAGCACATACCTGAGAGAGAGACACACACACACACGCACGCACACACACACACACACCCACACACACACACACACACACACCACACACACACACACACACACACACACTAACATACAGTGAGTTTGCAGCTGATGGTTTTGTTTTAGCTGCAGTTTTGCAGAACTTTAATTTATTTGTGTGTGTGTGTGTGTGTGTGTTTTAGTTCCCTGTTGCTCTCGGAGGAAACACTCGGGGATGTTTTTTCCTCGGGCTGGTGTTTACTTCCTGTTTGTTCTTCCTTGTTTGTGTTTTTCGTGATGATGCGTGTGGAGACGTCAGGTAAACTGCTGCTGAGGAGACTTGACTTAAACAGTGCCGTGGGCTCTACAGGAGGTCCAGTGGCCTGTAATTCCGTGTGTGTGTGTGTGTGTGTGTGTGTGTGTGAGCAGCTTGTTTTCCAGAGTCACTGAGCTGCAGCGTGTCATTTACATAGCTGAAAATGCAGATGTGCCTGTTGTGGACGGAGTATTTGTGTGGAGACTCTGTGTAAAGGTCACGTTCTGCTGGACAAAAGCTCGTCTGTCCTCGTCGCTCACACTCGGGAACAAACGGACGTGTCTTGACCTGAAGACGGAAATCTAATGAATGGATTCTTCTCTGTGTTTGAGAGTCTGCACTTTGGATTTTTGCTGCAGGGGGAAATAAGCAGCGCTGAAATCTTCTTGCTAATAAGGACGCAGCTCGCCTTCGTGACTGTGCGATCATCTGTAAGGTTGGTGGGGTTGTGCAGGCAGCACACAGCTGTCACAGCTCCTGTGAACTGGAATCGAGTCATGCTCCACGTCGCCACAGACACTGGGATGGTTGAGTCTGCAGCTTCCAGGTCTGAAATTTGGACCCAGTGCAAGATTGCCTTAAGCCTGCGTTCTTGTTAATGTCCAGCAGGGGGCGGTGGCTCTGAAGTATCATTGTGACCTCAGCAAACACTTTCCTGCTGAGTTTGTTCTCTGTGTTAAACTCTTGAAACAGAGCAGTCAGACTGGAACACCTGACCAGGTATCCTCAGAGCACATCTGTAAGGTTTGGATCCGACACCTGCAGAGCTGCAATACATTTCTGAGCTCTCACAGGAAACACCTGGATGTACCAGCTGTTTGAAATGGTGTAGTTTGGTAGAGGTGTGTGCCTGAGGCTGCTGAAGTGGTCTGAATGAAACCAGGTGAGCCGAGCGTATCGAGCGCGAGCGGCGAGGAGCGACGTCTTGAGTTTCCAGCCATCAGTTATTAACACATGATTGTAGTTTGGAGCCACAGCACTGGACGCTGCAGCTGTGACGTTTGGGTGCAGATCTGCTGGCAGCGCTGCTGCGGACTCTGTTTGCACATTTCAAAGGGTTCATATTATTATTATTTAAAAAAAAAAAATTTTTTGTGGATCAGTGCGCTTGTATTCAAAAGGTTTCTCCATGTAACGACCTGCTAGGGAGTGTGGGGAGACATGGACACAGACGAACAGGCGCACGCAGACACAAACGCGCATTCACACCACCGTATACACAAACAAATACTCGGCACTCACCCGACGCAGAGACAGACACAAATAGACACCTCACACGCATTCACACTCCCCAAACATGCTCTATATCCCAGGTCCAGGTACCCCCGCCCTCAGAGGGGCAAGCCGCACCCGGACCGGTTGATATCATTTCTAACATGTGCAGTATCTTTGGCTCGTGTCAGCAGCACCGTTTGCACAACATGAAACTAGTTTTCACTATTTTCTGTGCTCACAGCTCCTTTTTTGTGCGTTTGCATGAAATGCATCACCATTATTGAAGTCGTCAGCAGGCAGCGAGTCGGCTCTTTGTTTCTTTAATATCGAGGTCGTGCACGTCGCAGCAGGAACGGTGGAGCCTGTTGGAGGCGCGCGCAAAAACACGAGGTGTGTTTAGTTCAGATGTTTGTGCTGGTGCTGAGAATCAGGTGAAAGGTGGGGATGTCGGGCGGGTGTGGCCGGGGCGTCCTGCTCGGTCCTCGTGCGTCAGCAGCTCTCACCTCACATCCATTTCTGAGGTAACAGAATCCAGCTGCTCTCTGGACGGCGTTTCCTCCAAACTGAAACCAAACGAAGCCAGATGTTTCCTGCTGGCTTCAGTTTTACTGGTGCGTGTGTGCGTGTGCGTGTGTGTGTGTGCGTGTGCGTGTGTGTGTGGCTCTGCAGTGAACACATGTCAACCTTTATTCCTTGTTTAACAAGCTCTTTTTCCGTTTACAGCTCTTTGTGCGTTCCCTCTCTCTCGCTGAAAGTTGGAGGAACTTTAAATGTAATCATTCAAAGCCGAGTCTGTGACGGGACGCAGCAAACAAACACCGGAGCAAACTGCTGCCTGCAGAGAGGCAGAGATGTGATCTGAGGCGAGCTGGGCTGCGGTTGGTTAAACTTCACACCAAGCTCTTCGAGCGGCGAGATTCTGTCGCGCTTCACGTGCAGGAGACGAGCTGTGAGCTTCTGTTTGGACGTGAAGTGTCCGTCCCCTCTGTCCTCGTTCTCTCTGCTGATTGGCTCTTAACGCTTTGCTCGTGCTTCACTGATGCTGCTTCGTGCCGCGGTCCGCAGCCCTCACCTGCCCACTCAGAGCCGCTGGATGCTTCGCTTGCGTTCACGTCCTGACATCTCGAGTCGCCGCCTGGTGTGAAGAGCAGGGCGGCGGCTCTCGGGGGAATACGCTCTGCTTTTAGTCTTTTGGAAAGAATGCGTGATTCAGGCCACAAGAATGAGTCTGAGAGGCGGAGCCTCTGTGGAGCGTGGGGGGCTGTAAGTGATCATGAATATCTTTGTGCTTCAGCTGCAGTCTGATGATCCACGGGTCGTGCTGGTCCTGAAAAATGGTCTAAAGTGAGTTTAAAGGAGCAGACTGATGCTCAGTGAACGCTTTCCTCTTTATTAGGCACACAGGTCAAAAGGTCAAAGTTCATCATTGTTTCTGCCTCTGTTTGTGATTAATGCAGTTCTCAGACACCGATCAGCAGAGCATGCTGTGCGTGCGTGCGTGCGTGCGTGGTGTGTGTGCGTGCGGTGTGCGTGCGTGCGTGTGCGTGCTTGTGCGTTGTGTGAGTGCGTGCGTGTGTGCGTGTGTGTGGTCACCTCAACACTGAATGAATATTTGACCTGATGTTTCCTTTTCTTTTTCTCCCAGGCATCCCCAAACCTCGCTCCTCAGCAGTCTGTTGGCCCACAGCAGCTAAACCGACAGCCAATCAGCAGCCGGGATCAGCGGGGCGACCCGCCGCACCCACTGCCGCCTCAAAACTTCCTGTTAAAGGGTTACCCACAAGCCTTAGCTCCTCCTCACTGGGAAGTAACGAGAACAATGGAGGCGCAAGCAAAGGTGTGTGTGTGTGTGTGTGACACACTGTCTGTGCATCATCAGGTGGTTTTCTTTGGTGTGGTTTCCCTCTCACTGCTGTTTTAACCTCCTCTCATTTCCTGTGTGTGTGGGTGGGTGGACGGGTATTGGTGTGTGTGTGTGTGTGTGTGGGTGGGTGGACGGGTATTAACATCTTTGTGGGGCCCAAAAATTGGAAGTTTACTGTACTCGTGGGGACCAAAATCAAAATTGAGGTTTTAGTGTCAGGGTTACAGTTAGGTTAATGGTAAGAGCTAGGGAAACACGCGGGGACGGTACACACACACACATACACCACACACACACACACACACACACAAACCACACACACAAACACACACACACAACAAAGACTACACACACACACACACACTCACACACACACACACACAATCGTGCTCGTGCTTGCAGCATATCCTGTGCTCCTCTGAAGGTCAGGGAGCACATCTGGTCGGGTCGGAGCTCACAGATGATCCGTGTCGTCTCTGCAGCTTTCAGGCTGCCGTTTGTTTTCTCAGGTTAGGAGCTGAGCGTCCTGATGTTGGTCGTCCTTCAGCAGCTCGGCTCACATCAGGACTCAGTCGTCTCCAGCTTCAGCTTCCTCCTCTGTGCATCAAAAAGAAGAAACCAGGTGAATGTAGATGCTGAATGTGAGGACAGGTGTGGTCAGTCGGTCTGAAGGAAACGTTTCCTCGCTCTGTCCTGAGCAGCTGCACGTTCGGCCTCGCTCGCGTGTTGTTTAACTTCCTGTTTAGCCTTTGGTCTGCAGCGCTCGTAGCAAACAGACATCAGCACGTGCAGCGATCTCCTCGTTCGAACCGTTACTGGTCACAGCTGTAGTCATCCGTGGATACAGAGGTTTTCCAGATATGCTCGGTTTCCCTCTTCGTTTGGCAGCGGCGCCGGCGTCCTGTGTTTCTGTTTCTTTGGAAAGCTGCACGTTTCACTGTGACGCAGTCATTTGTGCAAAGTTGGCCAGAAACAACGGACCCATGTGACAGGCGGCAGGACGTGAATCATGCTTTCAGCTGGACTCGTGTCTTTAAGTCTGAATGTGATAACCGCCTGCACAGGCCCGTCCTCCTGCAGGGGAACATGGAGGTCACTTATTGTTACCATGGTGATATTTAGTTTTATCAGAGAGGAGCGTTGGTGTTGATCCACCTCCACACAGTTACAGCATCACACAGTCCGGCTCAGCTCTGCTTCAGGACACATTCAGACACGTGAAGCTTCACGCTGCGTCGATGAGGTCTTTTTGAGTAGATCCACTGAAACTGTGGAAACGTGTTGTTTGCTTCGCTGTCCTGGTGACACGCTCCTGTTTTTCTGCAGGTCCAAGTCAGTTTTTAATTCTAAAGGAGAAAGAACAAAATCATCTTTTTCCTCAACCCAGAGAAAACCTGCACATTTCCTCTGTGCTGAAACCTGTTGCAGAGCATCGCCGCGGTGCTCTGGGTGCAACACGGCACGCCCCTAACCGTCCCCCCCATGCAGGTGTCACGAGGGGGGAATTATCAATGGAGACCAAACAGTTTGTGCGTCAGGCTGTAAACATGTTTATTTCTGCTGTAAAGTTTTAACGTGGCAGTCTGAGGACTCACTGCTGCCTCTGCTGGCCGTCAGAGGAACTGCAGGTGTGGCTTCATGTTTCAGTTTCTTTCTGTAGCAGGTTAACCGAAGATCACCGGCAACAACTGAGAAACTGTCAGCTTTAACTCAGCATCACTCAGACGCCTCACATGCTCTTACCTCTCCTGGGTGACCCCAGGATGACCCCAGGATGACCCCATATCTGTTGTCTGTGTGAATGGGGGGAGCTGCTGTCACTCATCCAGTATTTAAATCAGCACATGAATAAAAACTGCATCTTCTCCCGTCAGCAGCTCCAGCAGCTCCAGCAGGGGCCGTACCAGACGAGCGGCCCAGCGGAAGCACACTTCCTGTGGGCAGTCAGAGTGCAGCAAAGCCCTCCGTCTCCAGCAGCAGCACCAGTACTCCCAGTGACGCTGTTACAAACGGTCCCAGCACTGCTGCTCCAAAACCTCCCGCCCTGAGGAGCAGAGCTGTGTCTCTGCAGGCCAGGACCTCCAGCACAGGTGAGGCACCGCCTGAGCCCAGATCAGCCTTTTAACCTTCAGACTAAATCTAATCCGAATGTTTGTAACTCAGATCGCCGAGCTTCAGTCGGTTTCTGTCTCATCAGAGCTGCGGGGTCACATGACTGCAGCACAAACATAAACTATAAGAGCACAAAGTCGCACTGGCGTGTTAACTGTTGGAGAAGCGTGTCGCCTCCACGCTGCTCCACCTGTGAGTGGCGAATGACGCTGTGTTTAATGTTTTGGCCTCTTTGTATAAAGTGCAGTTCAGTGCGTTTCCTTCGCCCTGCGGGAAACGGCACAGATGTTTGTGTCCTGTCTGGGTCACAGTCGGGGTCAAACGCGTGATCCTATTATGGAGGCAACAGGAGGGACGCGGCGGCGGCAGTTACACCGTTTGCTGGTCAGAATCTGTGTCAGACGCTCTGCACGCTGCTCAGAGCGGAAACCTCGAGCCCGTTTGCTCCTTTTCACAGCTGTGGGCGATTGAAACGCCTCCGCAGGAACAGGAAATGGGGTTTGACTCCTGTGTCCTCTCCGCAGGTCTGAAGCCTCCGACGATCACCAACCAGAACGCAGCGAAGACGGCGCCCACGAAGTCGAGCCCCGCCGCCGGTCAGGGGCTCGCGAAGCAGGCGGTGCAGTCCCCGTTACAGCGCAGCGGCTCGGCGAGGGTCAGCCGGCTGAACGGCGCAGGTACGAGAGGCTATCTGACTTCCTGTGTTTGTGTGCGAGCGGCTGCCGGGGCGTGGATCACAGCGAGTCGGCTCTAAGGGTGCTTAGCATGAGTAGTGCTGGTTAGTAAAGCTGTGAGGGCAGCTGAGAGCACGCCATCACACACAGCCTGGCTGAGTCTGATCAGTGCTGCCATCGATTTTATACAGTCTGTTGCATCAGTGTGATCATGACTGCAGATGTTTGCTGCACAACATCTGCTTTTTCATTCCTGCAGCTGAAGCAAGTCGCAGGTTTGCATCAGTCACACGAGCGAATAATGACGCGCGTCGCCGGGTTTGGACTGATGGTGCAGGAGGCGGCGGTCTGACATCACTGCATGAACTCTGACACGCCTCCCAGCTCAAACCCGTGCGCTCGCTCTGTGAGTTGATGTCCGTCGAGCTCCGGCAGGCTGAAGATTCACGTTTAGCATCACGCAGCGTCAGAATCATGTCTTAAACCATCGGCCGTGACTCAGCTGCTCTCCTCCCCCTGCATGTGGCGGCTCTCGTCTGGGCCCGGGCGCCTGGCTGCCTCCCTCTGTGGCCAGCCTGGAAGTCTCTCTGGGGCCTGTGGGGCGCCGCTTACTCATAGACGTACTATCAGCCCCATGATGGCTTGATTACCACACACACACACACACACACACACACACACACACACACTTCATAAGGGCTACACATGCATTTGATTCAAACCTCTCTCATTGACGCTCGCCACAGCCGTCCTCAGGCGACAGCGGTTAGCAGCGTGGGCCTTTAAAGCTCTCAGTGGCTTTCTGCGCGTTTTCTCTCCAGTGGATGTGGACATTGATTCTGACACACACACACACACACACACACACACACACACACACACACACACAGCTCTGGTGTTATTGGCGCTGGTCTGTCTCGTGCTGTTAGAGGAGCACTGATGTTCCGGGGCTGTAAGGTTTATGGCTGGTTTGCAGTTTGTCAACCAGCCACATGTTGTGCGCACTCACTCTGCACAAAGATGAAATCTATCAAACACGCCTGTGAATGAAAATGTGCACAGGTGATTTTTAGGAGGTGGACGTCCTGTAATCTGTGTGAGTGGAGGTAAACCAGATGTTGGAGAAAGTTCACAGCTGTGTGTCAGGATCTGTTAAATAACCTCAGCCTGTCTGTCAGCTGATGGCGGCGTCCACACTTGGATGCAAACTAAATAAAAGTGGATTCAATAGTGAGCACAGAGGCTCTCGAGGAACATGGCTGCTTGGTTTTAGTTTTCGCCGTCGGTGGTTTTTGTGGGGACCCGAGTTTCCTCTGAGCCGGCTTCCTCTGTGTTCACTAACCTGAGTCAGGCGTGAGCATCAGCGCAGTTTAACCCAGCTGCAGGTTCTGAGCGCGCTCACAGGAGCAAAGGACAAACGGCGGTCTGATGATTCAGCTGTTGACATTCAGAAGTGTGTCGTGTCCTCTTTGTTCCTCATGTTCAAGTTCAAGTTCTCCGTCACGTTCTTCACATCTTCAGCTTCTTTCGGTCGTTTAGGAAACGCTCAGACAGATTTGGCTAAAACAAAGACGCCTTTTCACAAAGTGTCTGAAAGGCGCCAATATGGC